CCCTTGGGACTGGCAGGGAGAAAACATGCACGTAACAGGAGTTATCTTCACTATCATTTTTGGGGCTACAGAATTCGAATTTGCTTAGCCAGCTGTCACTCTGTCATGAGTCTGTCATCCAGTGTCCTCTAGCTCGTGTGCTGAAGTTTTTTTACTGGTGTTATTAATATGTTTAAATCACAGTTTCTGAAGGTCTATGCCTCTGGTTTTGACAGATCTATCTTTGCAAATCCCACAAATGTCTTTGCAGTGAGGAAAAAGGGTCATTGGTGTGGGGGTAGAGAAATCAATCTAGCATTGGGTTTTCTATGGTAAGGATCTGGGGGCGGTGACTGAAATGAAGGATTGATAGCCAGGAGTTCTAGGTTACTCTGTTCTTAAATAAAAATTAGTTTGAACCCCTTCTTGGTGGCTTTAAGAAAGATGGCTCACAAATGCTTTTGTTTCAGTTTAAAACTTCCATTTATGTTTTGTTGGCAATTAAAACTGCCACAATTTAAATATTAAATGAGATTTCAAATGAGGTTTAAAAATGTTACTGAATGCTACTAATTGAATAACACCAGTATAATTTCAGAGTTGACTCATTTGCTACTTTCATTTTTTAGCTTTCTAAAAATCTGGTTAAATACACTAAATAGAATAATTAGATCACAGGTGACTAGGATTGACTGAGAGTTTGTGTGAACCTTCTGGATTGAGTTGTTAAATGTTTTGGGTGATTCATGATTGAACATTAGAAACCTGTGGTGAAGTGCCACTGAGAGCTGCTCGTGGCCACGGAGCATTTGGGTCCTTGTTTTCATTTCAGTAGGTCCAGAAGGTATGAGGAGGGGTGAGAGGTTAGCTTTAAAAGCAAAAATAGTTTTCCCAGAACAATATCCAGTAGCCAGCTCCTGACACTCAGCATATCATTGGTAGAGGAGCCTGGATTTTCAAGTGTTGAAACAGGAAGGAAAGGTTGCAGCTGTCTATGTGCTAACTCAGTAAATTTCAGGGAAAAAAAAACAAACCCTTATTTTAACAGCTGCCTTCAGTCTTTCTTGTAGGCTTACAAAGTGTGTTCAGTCTGTTGATCTACAGCTTCACTGGTGCATTTAACTGCAAAATGTTTAAAACTGTCAGAATTTATTTCTGGCAGATTGGGGTGCTGCAGAGGGTTCCACAAACAACTCAGTAGCTGCTATAAACAGCCAAACAAGCTAGAAGTAAATTGGCAGCTGCATCAAAATCTGTTTTGTTTTTTTATCAACTCAGATGTGTATTGTCCTTCCTGCTATGATGTCTTTATTACCTTGTAAGAAATGATTGAGAAATCTTGATTTAATTTGCTTATCTTATGTTCTTTTCAGACCCTATATATATGGTCCTACTGCACAAGGAGAAAGAATGCAAATTCTACAGAACTTCAAGCACAATCCAAAGATCAACACTATTTTCATTTCCAAGGTAGGTGAGGACATTCACTGTGTCCTTGTACACATCTTCAGCATGACCTTTATTTAAGGGTGCATTAAACATGCTGGCTGTGCGTTTGACATCTTAATGCTGCAGCTTACCAAAGTCTATTTGTATTAAGACTTTATTTATGATACGTGGAAATAAGATGCTGCTCAGAGGCTGCTTCCCTGTTACAGGTGGGTGACACATCCTTTGATCTGCCAGAAGCCAATGTTCTGATTCAGATATCGTCCCATGGTGGGTCTCGAAGACAGGAGGCTCAAAGACTGGGACGAGTGCTCAGAGCCAAAAAAGGTAAATGAGGTAATTGCTGGGTTCATAGTGTCACAGAACTGCAGAGAAACTGGATGTTCATGATACTTCTTTGTATTATCCTTAGATTGATGTTTTAGTCAAAGAGAATATATTCCTATCTACCAGAGAATGAAAAGGAAGCATTTTCTGGGTTAGTAAATCTGTGCTTTGGGAAAACTTCCAAAGGACAAAAAAAGCTGAAGGAAAATTATCTTTTTGTTCTTTGGTGACTCTTTC